AAGGCATTCTTAACATCCATTTGATACAAGGGCCGAAAATAGTGGGTAGCAAGAGACATAGTAACTTGGATTAAATTCATCTTGGCTATTGGAGCAAAGGTTTATTGGTAATCAATGTCGTAAGATTGAGTGTACCCTTTTTCCACAAGTTGAGCTTTATACCTTTCAATTGAGCCATCAACTTTATGCTTCACCATGTGAATCCACTTACATCCAACAGGAACTTTGCCTTCTAGAAGAGTAACAATTTTCCATGTTTGCTTTTTTTTCAAGTGCTCCATTTTCTGGTTCTTAGCATCCTTCCAATGAGGGAACTGCACTGCCTCAGTAACACTGTGTGGGATAAAAATAGAAGCAATAGAAGGGATATATGCACAATAAGAGGGAGATAAGGCATCATAAGAGACATAATTTGAGATAGGACATTTAGAACGTGTCCTTTTTTCTTTACAAATTGCAATAAGAAGGTTAAGGTCCAAATCCAAACTAGGAGGCTTAGTAACAAATTCAACACATGCATTAGAAATAGGAAGAGGTTCAGAATCCAAATTACTTGAGTCTGGGAAGTCGGATTGTAATGGACATTCATTCTCTAGAGTCATTTTCTTTTTCCGTCTGACAAACCACTGGTGCCAAGACTGAGGAATAGGAGAAGGCAAAGGAGGAGGCACGAGAGTACTACTGCCACCATGGGGAAGAGGAGGAGAAGAAGGATCGACAACATCAATTGCAATTGGAACAGGAATCAACATATAGAAAGGAGTCTGGTCTTCACTAACATTCTCCCCCTAAAGAGCAGTACGAGAGGAGGAGAAGAAGGGAGTAGACTTAAAGAATGTGGCATCTTTAGGCACATACAATTTTTGAGAGCAAGGGTCATAACAACGATACCTTTTTTCGATACCTTTTTTGGATTGAAAAATATCCCAAGAAGACACACTTGATAGACTTCGGGTCAAATTTCGACCTAGAAGGACTCATGTCATGGATGAAGCAAACACACCCAAAGACTTTGGGAGGAAGATGGAAAGTATCCTCATCAGGGAAAAGAAGTTGATGAGGAGACTGGAGATGAAGGGTTTGTGAGGGAAGTTTGTTAATAAGATATACAATTGTTTGAGCAACATCCTCCCAAAACCGAGTTGGGACATGCATTTGGAATAACAATCCTCTGGCAACTTCAACCACATGTCTGTTTTTCCTCTTTGATACCCCATTTTGTTGGGGAGTATGAGGATAGGAACTCTGGTGAATCACTCTTTGTAAGTGCTTCTCAAAGTATTCCTTGGCATTGTCAAATCTGATAATCTTAATCTTCTTCTCAAACTGTGTCTCTACCATACTGAAGAAGCCTTTTACAATTGAAGGAACTTCATCTCAGCTTTTCATCAAATACAACCAAGTATACCGTGAGTAGTCATCAACAAGGAGAATGAAATGTGTATAGCCACCCACTCATACATAGAATAGAATTGTGATTCTACATTGCTTTGATAGTTGACAAATTTCACATTGTAGACCGGGACTAGACATGGACTCAAACAGACTAGGAAACAAAGACTTCAAAGATCCAAAAGTAGGGTTCTAAATATCAATATGCCCGATACGCCGATAGGGGTGTATCGGGTGATATCGATAGTGTTTTTTTACTTTTTATTTATATTTTTTTCAAAACTGGTTTAAGGCTCCTCCACCCCCTGAACCGGTTAGAACCCCGATACACACTCTGTAGGGGTGTATCGAGGAACTCCCGAAACGATACGTATCGGTCGATACGGACCGATACGTGTCGATACTTTGAACCTTGACCAAAAGACACATGCCCAGGATGGTGATGCAACAATTTCATTCGATTTAGTTTCTCATCCTGTCAGGACTCACACTGACACATTAACCCTAACTTCGAAAACTGATCAAGAAGATAAGCTCCATTGGCTTCATGTCCACTGCCGATCATCTTCCCTGTACTCAGATCCTGAAAGGCACAATGAGATGGAAAAAAGGTTATAGGGCAATTACAAGACTTTGTAAGGGAGCTAACAGATAAGAAATTTTTATGCAATTGTGGAACATGGAGTACAGAGTTCAGAGAAAGGTTATTGGTAAATAACTTCACCCAAACTTGAGATTGGGGTCTTAGATCCATCAATAATGGTAATCTTACCTTTCCTTGAAAAATATTCTATAAGTGGTAAAGTAGGAAGGCATACATAAGTAGTATGCGAACATCTTTGTGTGAGTCCATCGATCACAACCCCTCTAAAAACACCATTCTCACCAGCATCATGGTATCCCAACACCAGCTGAACTCCAAGCACCTTTCCCACAAGGTTAAACACGAGCTACAACAATAAAACTAGGAAAAGAGGTGCTGGTGGCAAAACAGGGGAAGAAAAAGAATTTCCCAAAAATGTTTTAAGGCTCCAAAAGATCCAGGACTACTTCCTACAGTCTCAGGGATTTACCATGATTGAAACATAAGAGGATTCAACAACAACCAACCCACCATATGAGCATGCAAGCCCTAAACTCCAGATCTGGAATTTTTTTCTAATTTTCATTTGAAAAATCCAAGAAAAATATAAAACATCTTCAAGCCACCATGAAACCTATACCAAAATTCCCCTAAAAGCAAGGCGCATCAACCGGCAGTGTGCTAACGTTAGCAAGTTTGTCTGAGTTGTGACCAGCAACAGATGGTTTCCTTGATCGTGCAACGTTTTGATACCAAGTTGGAAGGTTTAGAGATGAAAATGTATTACCGAGAATGCTTGGTGTGTTACTGTTCACTCCAAGAAAATTTTCATTTAACCTTTAAGCAAATTTGCAAAGGGGCCCTTGAATAGGTGCCCAAATAGAAAAAAACATGAAAGGACATAAATGCCCTTACATTCTCAACAATAGTGACTTTTCCTTCCTCATCCTTGAAGACTCCTCCAATGCCAGATGGACATGGGTTTCCTTTATTGCTTCCGCTAAAGTTGATCTTAATAAAACCACCAGAAGAAGGGGACTAGCAAGGCCTAACAACCTCCTTGATAGGAGAAAAATATGCTACCTCCCTCCGATTCCTCATCAAAACATCCACAAAGGTATCTTTAAAAATATCCAATGTCTTAACCCAATGGGCTACTCTGATGGTGATGGCTTTAATGATAGCATCCCTATTCCTTTCTTCATAAAAATTTCTCTGATTCCTCTCTTCCCATATTGTCCAATAGACTGCTGCCCTCGTACACTTCCATAAGATTCTTTTCCTCTTCACTGGCCACCTAACAAAGGTAGAGGTGAACAAGCTTTGTACATTAGGAGGGTTCCACCTGCATCCTAACAAAGAAAGACACCATACCCAAACAGTGTTTTAAAAGGCGTGGGAGGCTTATACCTCCATGTGAGGCCCTCCCAAAATGCCCTAAGGCGTATGCCAGAGGCATTGACACCTTTGAGGCGTCCGCCTCATGCGCTTTTTTCATGAGGCGTGCTAGAGGTGTACGCCTCATGCGCCTCATGCACATCTTATATAAATAGACAAAAAAAAAGAACAAAGAAAAAAAAAGGAAAGTAAAGGAAAGGGAAAGAAAAGAAAGGGAAGGGGAAGAAAAAGAAAGAGAAGAAAATAAGAGAAAAGGAAAAATGAGATCTCCCCTTCCTCTTCATCTTCCTCCCATTCCTCCTCCTAACTCCCCTCCTCTTAAGGAGGCGTACCCCTCCTTGTGTTTGGGAGGCTTATGCCCTTGCGTTCTGAACTACGCCTCATGCCTCTAGGTAGTGGATTGCCTCATGTCATGCTTCCATGTTTTAAAACATTGTTCCCAAATTGAAGTAGAAAAAGGGCAGGAGATTAATAAGTGATAGCAATTCTCACAATTGACCCTGCATAGAGAACACTAGTGTGGGGAAAGACACCAATTAGGTCTTTTCTTTGCAACAAGTCACAAGTATTAATTCTTTCTTGGAGCACTTCCTAGCACAGACCACCCATGCTATGCAAAATAGGTTTACTTCACACCTCCTTGATTGGGAAAGATAACCCTCGACTATCACTCAACTGAATAAGGGATGAGGAAAACGAAACACAGGTGAAAGAATTGGAGGGAGAAAAAGTCCACATCCTCCTATTCCTCTGTCATATCTAGACACCCCTCAAGGTTTTGAATCAAACTCATGACACTTGTAATTTCACACTCATGTAGTCCCCTTCTAAACCTCAAGTCCCAACCAAACCCAATACTTGAGTTAGATGGGGCCAAAAAGGAGGAAATGGGTTCCTCCATATGGTTGGAAATGACATAAGAGTGAGGAAAATTGTGTTTTGATAGGAGAATTACTCACCCTAACATGATCCCAAAACTTAACAAGAGAACCAAACCCGGGATTATATCTGATAAACGGTAAACAAAGCAGAAGAATATCACAAGTGGACTTCTAAGGAGAAGCTCTTGTAACCCTAGCCAAAGTTTCAGAGTCCCTGCCATCATCCGCAAGCCCATGAATACTAATAATCACCTTCATCCACAACTTATCTCTGTCAAGAAGTAATCTCCACAACCCCGCAACAAAGCAATGTTCCTCTTCTGTACATTACCAATACCTAATCCTCCAAATTTCTTACTTCTACACATCACTTCCCACCTTACTTTATGATCCTTCTTCTCATTCCCCAGGTCCCATAAAAAATCCCTCATCATTTTCTCTAGTACTTTACTTACCCCATCTGGAATCCTAAAGACTGACAAAAAACTAAGCAGACAATCTTTTTGCTTTTAGGAATGTTTTATTAATTTTTCATATTATTTGGATCTCCATCCTGATATTTCTGTACTACATTATTTTATTCATTTACTTTAATTGTCTCTTGGTTGGTTTAATAGTAAAAGTCTGGTGTTCTGCTGAAGCTTTTACTCTGACTGAATTTGTGCTTGAGTGAGTGCTTTTGTATGCGAACATGTAGTATGGCTTAACTTCTTTGCAAAATGGGCTGACTTTTGATGTTATTGCAGATAACTAGTATTGGGCTGTGGTCAGGGAAGGCTAGTGAATCTAATGCAATGGATAATTCCAACAAGGGAATTTCAAGTGATAATTTGGAAGTTTCAAGTGTGGATGGAGATTCTCTGACATTTTTGGCACCAAAATTTTGGTTGAACTGGATTAATTCAGGTGCCAGGAGGAGCAAATTGGTATTAAAACCCTGGAAGACTGATAATGAATTTCTTGAGCCTCAGGTTGAAAGTTTAACTGACAGTTGGAGCTCCAAGTCTGTCATTGATGACTCTGAAGTTAAGGTTGAAAAGGAACAGCCAAATATTGGCTTTCCTATATCAGCAAGAGAATCATTTAAAGCAGCAATTCTTGACTTCTGGCACAAGTGGCTCAGGCGATTTTCTTTCATGTGTGGACATTCAAAGCAATTCCTAGGGGGCTTACACCAACTATGGGTAAGGGCTTTTTAAAATGAAAAATTTTCATTGATGGTTTAATATGCTCTAATATTATTTCATCAAGCAATTTTTACTGTTAATCTACCAAGAAGATCTATTTGCTTTAAGTTGATCTTTTTGTATGCCTATTTGTCTAGTTGTTTATCAGATTTCTTTTTTGGTTCTTTACTGTGTTGTGTTACCCTAGGAGTTTGGGTCTTTTATCCCTTATGTTTCCCCTGTTGTCCTCTTTTACATCCTTAGGAATTATGTCAGAAAAATTTCATTCAGGAAGGCTCAGGAAGAGTTAGTGCAACTGTGCAAGTTAGGGCTGTATGATGGGCATTGATAGCTGTAGTAATAACTGGCACCTGGCAATAGTTTTCTATATGCCACCTTTGGGTCTCTTATTTGACACCTTTGCTCAAAACAAGCATCTTTTTGAAGTCCTTGGTTACTTGGACTTTTACACTACCTTGAGCTTCTACCCCCACCCCCACGGCAGTATTACATTCTGTTTATCCAATACTTACAGCTTCCTAACAGCTGAAAAATAGGCTAATGTTCTATATTATTTATTTTTTTTGATGAATAATGTTCTATATTATTTATTAGACTGGGAATATTGAACAATATTTAGTAGACAACCACATTTTAGATTTATTCTTGTACTTATCATTATCATGTGGTCTGGAGCTACTAGACTTTTTAGTTCAATAAAAGAGGGAAAACAGAAGAAAATTCATGTGATACATAGGGGAGAAGAGGAAGAAGAGAGAAGAGAATGGGATGCCAAAAGTTCTAGCAGCTGCCCCTTACACATATTTATAATTATGAGAGTTAAGATGATGTTCAATGACCATCATACCCTGGCTGCCCAAAACATAAAATTGACATTTAAACAACAGCCTACCTAACAAGAAATATAAATTAACAGCAATAAAAATGAAATAAATAATAGAAAACAAATTCTGAACACTCCCACTTTTGTTGGTTATGTTGATCTTTCCCAACTTGCTTAAGTCATGCTCCAGCAAGTACACTTCGTCTAAAGACACCCTCCCTAATAGAATGCTGATCAACCTCAATTTCCTTAGTCCTGTCATTCTGGACAGGATTATGCGAATAAAATAGCGACCTGATTTTTACAATACAACATCAAAGGTGGATCCATCTCAATCCCAAACTCTCCAAGTAATGATTGAGCCAGTACAATTCTGACACACATTGAGCTAAAGATCTATACCCGGCCTTTACATTAGAGTGGGCTACCGTATATTGCTTTTTGATCTTCAAAGACACCATGTTACAACTGAGAAGAGTACAAAAACCTGATGTAGAGAATTGCCATCCAAAGAACCTGTCCAGTTTGCATCTATAAGAGCCTCTACTCTCATGTGTCAAGGTGTCACCTAGGTGTTGACTAGGAAACTAGGTTCCCTTGGCTGTGTGCCTTGTCTAAACTTGTTTATAGCAATGACACCTATCTAGGTGACTAGGTGTCCACCTAGGCGATAAGGCATCTGCCTAGGTGACTAAAATGACAAGGCGGGTGCCTTATTACAAATTTATAATATTGCTCCTATTGTTACATCTTATTATTATGTATGTTACTGCATTTTATTATATATTATATATATCATTTCTGCTTTGTTTTAACGTTTTACTAGTGATCCAAATGTTTTGAGAAGAGAAAAAGAAAAAGAATAGAAATATAAAGATGTTTCTTTTTTTTTTGTTTTTTTACTCTTTCTGTCTCTCTCTCTCTCTTACATTAAATAAAACAGCAGCTCCACCCTTTTTTTCTCTTCTACTTACCCTCTGTTTTAAATTTTATCATATAAAATTATAACCTTCTTTAGTTGCTAACTTGATATGGAATTGCTTTATTAAATACTTATTATATTAGTATCATTTTTGAAAGTATTGAACTTAATATAATTGAAATACTATTATCCTAGATATGTTGATTTGCCATGTTTTGAGAGGAAATGTAATGTTATTAGTAAAGAATTGTCCCTTTTTTCAATTAATATGCATGCTGAATTGTAAATAAAACTAGAGAACTAGGAAAATCTTAGTTTTTTATTTTATGAAATTCTTATTACCTAGGCGACTAGGTGACTAAGTGCTCCATTGTTGCCTAGAATCGTTTCAACGCTTTGACAATAATGCAAACCACTTTGATCAGGATGCTTCTTGAGAGAAATAAAAATTGTATCAATATCCATCATGTGAGAACTCTGTGGTGCATGCATGTACTGGCTCACCACGATTTCTGCATATGAAATATTAGAGCTGGTCATGCACAGATAAAGCAATTGACCAACCAATCTCTGGTAGCACCTAGCATCTTTGAGGAACTCACTATAGAATTATTTATCCTATAATTCTAACCAATGGGTGTATCAACAGGCTTAACGCCCAGAAATATTGTAGCTCACCAATGATTGACCTACATCAATCCCCAAGAAATATTGTAGCTCACCAATGTTTTTTAATTTCAATATCCTGATACAAAAACTTCTTTAATCCATGTATCTCTGCAAGATCATTCCTGGTAACCACTATATCATCAATATAAACACTCTTAAGATGGTATGATTTGACTGTGTTGGAGTATAAACAAACTAAATTAATGGTATGTTTTGTCAAAAAAATGCTCTAGTTGACTGCTTCAGTCCATATCTGGAGGTAAATCCATATATATTTCACCTTGCAAATCTTTATTAACAGACCATTTTTCACATCCAGCTGAAATAGAGGCCAAAAATAAGTGACTGCAAGAGAGAGCAAAACGTGAACAGAGCTTATATTTGCCACTGGGGCAAATATCTCTTGATAGTCAATATCATATTTTTTGGGTGTATTGCTTTGCAACCAATCTCACCTTATAGCTCTTTGTGTTGCCACTAGCCTTGTACTTCATAGTAAACACGTATTTGCACTCCTCAAGATCCTTAATCATAGGTAAATAGCCTTAAAACAAGAATAGAGTCATCAACACCAGAACTAAAAGGGGGCAGTAGTCACATCAGAAAAAGGACATGACAAAGGAATAGAAGGATTCTCTCCTCACCAGAACGCTTCTCCTGAATGAAAGCACCATAAAAAAGTGGACTAAGCTCAAAGAAGGTGACATCCATTGTAGAATATGTATTTTTTGATCAGCAGAAAATTTATTTTATTATATTTGGTTATAGATGAGATTAGTACAACTAGATGGCAGGAATGTCATCCCTAAGCTACCGACTCTAAGTTTACATTATGAAAGCTAAATTACTGTAGCCGAAGTAGCAGAAAAGAGAAGAAGAAGAAGAAGAGATGCTGGAATGTCGAACTCCTCTGCTCAGTCGACAATACTATTATTTATATTATGGTGTAGTACAATGATAC